ACTTGACCAGGGACCACTTTGACCAGGGACCACTTTGACCAGGGATCATTTTGACCAGGGACCTCTTGATCAGGGACCACTTTGACCAGGGACCACTCTCCAACATTAGTACCAAAAGAGTTATCAGTTTTTGGTCAATTTTAGATTTTATTTTGTTATTTGGGGTGTTGATTTAGAAAATTGCATTGGTTAGACCACATCAGCTCTCGTTTCTGATACAGAACATATGCCGTCCAGTAGTTACCATCTGTTTGCCCACAGAAAGCCATATTTAATAATCTAGAGCTGATGTGGTCTATCAAATACAATTTTATGAAATAAGCAACCCAAATAACTCAAGGAACAAGCCAAAACAGGAAGACACCAAGGCGTCCCCACTTCCAGGCACCATATGGAGCGTCTCCGCTCAGGGGGAGGAAGGAGGAGAAGCAGGAGGCTTGTTGTCGCACCTCCAGTGGGTAGTCAGCCTCTCCCCTCCAGACATTCCTGTTGCCTTGGCACTATAAGAGGGTTTCGCAAGACCAATTGATCTTGTTGCAACAGTGTAGTAATGCCAAGGGTGCGGGGCATATTTTAGTTCTTGTGGACCACTGGTGGTACGTAGACCACTGGTTGGGAGCCACTGCTCTAAAGAACCATCCGTAGAGTAAGAATGAGCCCAGCTGCGGAGCATATTTTAGTTCTTGTGGACCACTGGTGGTATGTAGACCACTGGTTGGGAGCCACTGCTCTAAAGAACCATCAATAGAGTAAGAATGGGCCCAGCTGCGGAGCATATTTTAGTTCTTGTGGACCACTGGTGGTACGTAGACCACTGGTTGGGAACCACTGCTCTAAAGAACCATCCGTAGAGTAAGAATGAGCCCAGCTGCGGAGATATTGTAGTTTTTGTGGACCACTGGTTGGGAGCCACTGCTCTAAAGAACCATCCGTAGAGTAGGAATGAGCCCGGCTGCGGAGCATATTTTAGTTCTTGTGGACCACTGGTGGTACGTAGACCACTGGTTGGGAGCCACTGCTCTAAAGAGCCATCCGTAGAGTAAGAATGAGCCCAAAGAGCCTGGATCCCAGGAAGAGGATGGGCTAAGTGACCTTCAGATCCTTCCAACTCTTCTCACCCTATGACCCACCTTCAATGGATGTATAACTTCCCCATTTAGAAGTCATTTAGTCCCACAGCCAATGCCACCTTGAAACCGAGAAACCCATCCTGTTACTGGTAAACCATATCTGAAGGGCTGCAAGATTCTATTATTCATTTACAACTTTGGAACAACATCAGCAAGAAATATTGCTACATAAGAGACTTTCTAATATTCCAAAATTGTGGCAGACCAGAGGAGTCTGGTCCACCCGCCATGCTCTTCTCCTTTTTCCAGCCTGAAACATCCTGGCTTCATCCCAGTTCCTTCCTGGCAGATGTTGACTCTGCTTAATTGGTGTTGGCAAACATAAGGAGCCTTGTGTTGACTTCCTTCTTAACGTAAGAAACCTTGTAAACATTTTCTTAACTTAAAGAGCCATTGTCACTGATAACACGTTGTTTTTCACCAAAAGTCAACCAAGTCTGCTGTAGGGAAAGCAGGGTCTGGCCTAAGAGGTGTTCGTCTCCAAGGGATGATGGAAGGAGAATTGGAATACAAAAACTATGCTTTAAAGTTATTGAAAGTTGTTCATAACACTCATTGGTTACTAAGTTGCCCGCCAGGACTTGAGCAGAGGTCACCAATCTGTCTAGACGTCCCCAGCTTTCTTGTGGCTTTCATTCCTTTCATTGCTCATATCAATTAGGGCACATGGCACCAAGCAGTCGTTACAAAGGATACAAACATGTGAGAACAGTACTGATGAACACGCAACCACAGGTGAGATGATGCAATGCATGTTGTAGAAAGCTCCCCATCTGAAGCGCAAGGTGAAATTGAGATGAAATAGAAACATTGCACATAAAAACCCCAATGTATGCAGACTCTGGAGAAAAGAACCATCGTTCTTCATCCTCACATGTCCTACCACAACTGTGGACCCTTCTGAACTACACTCTTTCATCTGGCCTAAACCAGAAGTCATCTGAAGGCCAGTCAAGCTTAAAAAGAAACAAAGCTTGACCCCATCAAGATATAGGAAGCCACAGTTAATGGGAGAATCGTGTTCTGTGAAGATCTCTGGGGATGCAATGCTCTCGCTTTGTGCTCAGAAGAACATTTTCCCTTTTTGGGAGGGGGAAGAAGGTTCTGGGGTTTGTGTCCGAGGCAATGTGAGTCCTGCCTCTGACCTAATGTTAGGTGCAGCCTTGTTCTCCCATTATGGATTAGGCTGATGTACTGAAAGCAAGGAGTAGATGAAACCCAAGCAGACGAGAAAAACAAACTCAATATATTTTGAGAGGGAGGCCCAGGGGACAGTTCCACCTTGTCTCCTGCATATATCATCAGCTGGGGACCCCTCCCCCCAGCACCAACTGCCGCTCTGGGCCAGTGAAGAGGGGGGGGGCAGGGGACAGTTCCACCTTGTCTCCTGCTATGTCATCAGCTGGGGACCCTTTCCCCAGCACCAACTGCCGCTTTGGGCCAGAGTGAAGAGAGAGGGGGCCAGGGGACAGTTCCACCTTGTCTCCTGCATAATTCGTCAGCTGGGGACCCTTTCCCCAGCACCAACTGCCACTCTAGGCCAGAGTGAAGAGAGAGGGGGCCAGGGGACAGTTCCACCTTGTCTCCTGCATATGTCATCAGTTGGGGACCCCTCCCCTCAGTACCAACTGTCGCTCTGGGCCAGAGTGAAGAGAGAGGGGGCCAGGGGACAGTTCCCCCTTGTCTCCTGCATATGTCATCAGTTGGGGATCCCTCCCCCATCACCAACTACTGCTCTGGGCCAGAGTGAAGAGAGGGGGGCCAGGGGACAGTTCCATCTTGTCTCCTGCATATGTCATCAGTTGGGGACCCCTTCCCCCAGCACCAACTGCCGCTCTGGGCCAGAGTGAAGAGAGAGGGGGCCAGGGACAGTTCCATCTTGTCTCCTGCATATGTCATCAGTTGGGGACCCCTCCCCCCCAGCACCAACTGCCGCTCTGGGCCAGAGTGAAGAGAGAGGGGGGCAGGGGACAGTTCCATCTTGTCTCCTGCATATGTCATCAGTTGGGGACCCCTCCCCCAGCACCAACTGCTGCTCTGGGCCAGAGTGAAGAGAGAGGGGGCAGGGGACAGTTCCATCTTGTCTCCTGCATATGTCATCAGTTGGGGACCCCTCCCCCCAGCACCAACTGCTGCTCTGGGCCAGAGTGAAGAGAGAGGGGGCCAGGGGACAGTTCCATCTTGTCTCCTGCATATGTCATCAGTTGGGGACCCCTCCCCCCCAGCACCAACTGCCGCTCTGGGCCAGAGTGAAGAGAGAGGGGGCCAGGGCACAGTTCCACCTTGTCTCCTGCATATGTCATCAGTTGGGGACCCCTCCCCCCAGTACCAACTGCCGCTCTGGGCCAGAGTGAAGAGAGAGGGGGCCAGGGGACAGTTCCACCTTGTCTCCTGCATATGTCATCAGTTGGGGACCCCTCCCCCAGCACCAACTGCCGCTCTGGGCCAGAGTGAAGAGAGAGGGGGCCAGGGGACAGTTCCACCTTGTCTCCTGCATATGTCATCAGTTGGGGACCCCTCCCCCCAGCACCAACTGCCGCTCTGGGCCAGAGTGAAGAGAGAGGGGGCCAGGGGACAGTTCCACCTTGTCTCCTGCATATGTCATCAGTTGGGGACCCCTCCCCCCAGTACCAACTGCTGCTCTGGGCCAGAGTGAAGAGAGAGGGGGCCAGGGCACAGTTCCACCTTGTCTCCTGCATATGTCATCAGTTGGGGACCCCTCCCCCCAGTACCAACTGCCGCTCTGGGCCAGAGTGAAGAGAGAGGGGGGCAGGGGACAGTTCCACCTTGTCTCCTGCATATGTCATCAGTTGGGGACCCCTCCCCCCAGCACCAACTGCTGCTCTGGGCCAGAGTGAAGAGAGAGGGGGCCAGGGGACAGTTCCATCTTGTCTCCTGCATATGTCATCAGTTGGGGACCCCTCCCCCCAGCACCAACTGCTGCTCTGGGCCAGAGTGAAGAGAGAGGGGGCCAGGGGACAGTTCCATCTTGTCTCCTGCATATGTCATCAGCTGGGGACCCCCCCCTTGCTCTGGGCCCGAATGAAGAGAGAGGGGGGCAGAACAGTTCCACTTTGTCTCCTGTGCTATGCTATAATAATATAATATAATATAAATATAATATAATATATTGTATATACATATAATATTTATAATATTATAATGTAATGCAATATAATAATAATAATATGATATTATAATTAAATATTTATATTACAGGTAATATTACTAATAATATTACAATGTAATGGTATAGCACAATATAGTAATATTTCATACTGATATTGTACTAACATAATATATTGTATGTATATATATCTAGTAAGCCACTGTGAGTCCCCTTTGGGGTGAGAATGGTGGCATATAAATGTTGTAAATAAATAAATAAATAAATAAATAAATATTTTAATCCAGACCATTCAGCATGACAGCCAAGCACAATCAGGTAAACAAGACTGTGCAATGTCCCATGCACATGGATGCAAATACATAGTGCGAGACACACCTGCAGGCATGTAAGAAAGACTCTGTGTGATGAGAGGGAAACTAGAACTTCCTCCTGTTACATTCATTTGGGAATCAGTTCCCAATGAGGCGGCAATAGTTGAAATTTCCATGAGAGGGGACCCTTTTCAAGAAGTGGAATTTCTACTATTTGAATCACCCTTCTCCCTCTTCCGCACAGATTGATGCTCCTTCCATGAGATGCTGAAATGTGTGGATGTGATGCATTGCTTGACTTGTGATAGGAAAGATTTTTCTCAGAACATAACACACTGGGAGTGGCCGGGGGGGGGGGGGGGGGATTAATAACAAACAACAACAAAAAAACTGGCATTGCATTTCCTAAGTAATAAAATGAATCCTTACGCAGCTATGGAAATGTTTGCTGCCGACAGAGGACTGACGTCTGCTACCTCCTTGGCCTTCTGCAGGGCGAGCTTTTGATTGGTTGCTTCTTCCATCTCCTCCTCATCCTGTTCAGAAGACAAGGGCACCGTGCAGAGACTATTACTCAACAGACCTTGATCTTTGGTTTATGAAATGGATACACAAATAAGAGTCCATAGAGAAATTCCCCCTGATCAAGGGAAAGAAGAGAACCCAAAAAGAATGACATTGTGTATTGGGAGCATCATAAGAGCATCATAAGAGGGCCAAAAATTTGAAATATCCTGGATTATTGAAATATACTGTATTATTAAACTAGTAAATATTTTCCATGAAATGGGTTGACATTAAATCTTAGTTATTTATTTGTCGTGTCTGGGCAACCAGTCAATTGTATTACATTTCTAACAGAACAAAACAAACAAACAGACAAAACACAAAATTTTTGAGTTTGGTAGTTGATTAAATGTCCTTTGACCAGTATCTGGCCACTTGGAGTGCCTCTGGTGTTGCCGCAAGAAGGTCCTCCATTGTGCATGTGGCGGGCTCAGGGTGCATTGCAGCAGGTGGTCAGTGGTTTGCTCTTCTCCGCACTCGCATGTTGTGGATTCCACTTTGTAGCCCCATTTCTTAAGGTTGGCTCTGCATCTCGTGGTGCCAGAGCGCAGTCTGTTCAGCGCCTTCCAAGTCGCCCAGTCTTCTGTGTGCCCAGGGGGGAGTCTCTCATTTGGTATCAGCCATTGGTTGAGGTTCTGGGTTTGAGCCTGCCACTTTTGGACTCTCGCTTGCTGAGGTGTTCCAGCGAGTGTCTCTGTAGATCTTAGAAAACTATTTCTAGATTTAAGTCGTTGACGTGCTGGCTGATACCCAAACAGGGGATGAGCTGGAGATGTCTCTGCCTTGGTCCTTTCACTATTGGCTGCTACCTCCCGGCGGATGTCAGGTGGTGCAATACTGGCTAAGCAGTGTAATTTCTCCAGTGGTGTAGGGCGCAGACACCCCGTGATAATGCGGCATGTCTCATTAAGAGCCACATCCACTGTTTTAGTGTGGTGAGATGTGTTCCACACTGGGCATGCGTACTCAGCAGCAGAGTAGCATATCGCAAGGGCAGATGTCTTCACTGTGTCTGGTTGTGATCCCCAGGTTGTGCCAGTCAGCTTTCGTATGATATTGTTTCTAGTACCCACTTTTTGCTTGATGTTCAGGCAGTGCTTCTTGTAGGTCAGAGCACGGTCCAGAGTGACTCCCAGGTATTTGGGTGTGCTGCAATGCTCCAGTGGGATTCCTTCCCAGGTAATCCTCAGAGCTTGGGATGCTTGTCTGTTCTTAAGGTGAAAAGCACATGTCTGTGTTTTAGATGGGTTAGGGATCAGCTGGTTTTCCCTGTAATAGGCAGTAAGAGCACCTAGAGCTTCGGAGAGCTTCTGTTCAGCCATCTCAAAGCTCCCTGCTTGAGCAGTAATCTTAATTAAATTAGTATTAGTGAATTAATATCATTACCAATTAGTATTACTTAATTAATGCAGTTTTATTTATTTATTTACTTACGGTATTTATATTCCGCCCTTCTCAACCCGCAAGGGGCTCAGGGCGGATTACATTCAATGCCATAGACGCACAACATATATAGACAGACACACAGAGGCTATTTAACATTCCAGCTTTTCATGAGGGTATTCTTGTCACCAGGGGAGCTGTAGCTTCACTGTCCATTTGTGACACTGATGAAGTACTTCCTCATTCTTTGCAGGCTTGCTGGAGATTTTTATGGCATCGTAAATTAGTTAAATTAGCCTCCCCGCATAGGCGGTACCTAAATTTCCTACTTAACAGATGAAACTGTCTTTCAGGCTGTAAAGGTCGACAATAAGCTACACAAATTGGTCAGAAGCTCACTCCAACACGGGCTGGCTTCAAACTCATGACCTTTCAGTCAGTTGTGATCTTAATGTAGCTGACTCTCAGCCAGCTGCACCACAGTCCCTGTAGTAATGTTGACATTAAATATGAAATTGGTAACTCGCCCCATTCACTACTCAGAAAGAAAATTCCTCCACTCATACTTTTAACATTACATGTGTGTGCATGTGTAATGAAATTGAAGCACTTTAATGGGTGTTTTTAATCTATCATATTTACTCAAATTTAAAGCACACCTTTCTGGCTAAATTACCTTTCCAAATGTGGTATGCCACATTATCACGTGGTGTCTGCATCCTACACCACTGGAGAAATTACACTGTTTAGCCGGTATTGCACCACCTGACATCCACCGGGAAGTAGCAACCAATAGTGAAAGGACCAAGGCAGTGACATCTCCGGCCAATCCCCTGTTTGGATATCAGCCAGCACACCAATGACTTAAATCAAGAAATAGTTTTCTAAGATCTACAGAGACACTCGCTGGAACACCTCAGCAAGCGAGAGTCCAAAAGTGGCAGGCTCAAACCCAGAACCTCAATCAATGGCTGATACCAAATGAGAGACTCCCTCCTGGGCACACAGAAAACTGGGCAACTTGGAAGGCACTGAACAGACTGTGCTCTGGCACCACGAGAAATGCAGAGCCAACTTTAAGAAATTGGGCCACAAAGTGGAATCCACGACATGCGAGTGTGGAGAAGAGCAAACCACAGACAACCTCCTACAATGTGGTCTGAGCCCTGCCACATACATAATGGAGAACCTTCTCACCATGGCATTCCAAGTGGCTAGCTTCTGGTAAAAGGAAATTTAGTACAATGCCAAGTTTTTCCCTTTTTTGTGGTTTTTCTATACATTATAACTGTATTCTCAATGATAAATAAATATATAATATTTTTTTTTGGTTGTGTCAGGAGCGACTTGAGAAACTGCAAGTCACTTCTGGTGTGAGAGAATTGGCCGTCTGCAAGGACGTTGCCCAGGGGACGCCTGGATGATTTGATGTTTTATCATCCTTGTGGGAGGCTTCTCTCATGTCCCCGCATGAGGAGCTGGAGCTGATAGAGGGAGCTCATCTGCCTCTCCCCAGATTTGAACCTGCAACCTGTCCAATATATCATATTGATTAAATGATACTAACTGGTAATGATAAATAAATAATTCAATTCAATGGCACATTAGACTTGAGTCAATACGGTATGTGCTTTATGTCCTTGTCGTTGTTGCTGCTGCTCCTCCTCCTTGGGTTTAACATCATTTTGGGGCAAGAACATTTGGGGGATTTAGAGACAAGCTCTCAGCAGGTTTGACTACAGCTCAAGGACATTTCATCCAACACAGAACAATTGTAAAAGAGTGAAAGGAACTTCTCCGGAGGGCGATGCTGCCAGCTTCCTCTGATGAAAGAGGAACGGTGCCAAACAGCCCCTCCTCTGCCAACCCTTTCTTTCTCTCTCTTGCTTCCACTCACCTTGGTCAGCTCTTGTGCATTGGCAAGGTTGTCCACCGCAATGGCCAAGAAGACATTCAGGAGCGTGTCTGGTTCGGCTGCTAAGGTTCTTAAAGGCATCTTCACAGATGCTGAGTTAAAAAGATGTTTCCATGCAACACAACACACAGCGGTCCCATGCAACACAACACACAGCATTCCAAACATTGGTCAGTGTCTCTGGGAGCACGATCTGAAGGAAGCTCCTTATTTATAAAAAGTGGCTTATAGGAAAAGATGGATATTGTTGGGGTTTAGCAGCTGAGGATTTCTCAGAGGATGTGGGGAACGGTGTGGTGATGAGTTTCCCACTGAGGAGCCAGGGGGAAATGTAGGACTTAGATTAGAGTGAGACAGATTATGTTTTGGATTCCAATTGTAGTTCCTTAACAACAGGGGAAAAGTCTGTTTCTTTTGGAAATCAGCCTTCAACAGATTGGGAGTTTTCCCGCAATATCAGATTAGGCCTTCACATGGAGGGAGTGAAGGATAGATTAATTAGGCATTCAGAAAGACTCTGTGATATGCCCTTGAGATCCAGATGTCAAAGGCTTCTTGGTTAGGCCTGGGTCTAAATTAAGTGATGTTTACTTAGTGTCTTCAGAGCAGACAACATTGCCATAGATTCAACTTCTTGTTTCAGCTCTCCACTCCCTCAATGGACTGTCGCCTTGTCGTGGTGAGGGGGCTTGTGTGTTCCGATGAACCTGGAGTCGTGCACTCCCAGGAGTGGCCGCGGGGGAGTTTGCAGACCAAGCACAGTTCGAAGACCCAAAGACCTCAACAGTAGAGCAGGCGGAGGATAACATGCAGAGGCGGCTCAACCCATTACACAAAGTAAGCATTTGCAGTACAGTTGATTTTGCCCAGGGGCGCTCTTGAGGCGCTCTTGGGGGAAAATAGACCTTGACATATGCGAGTTGTAGATACTGGAATGTATAGTTCACCTACAATCAAAGAGCATTCTGAACTCCACCGATGATGGAATTGAACCAAATATTGCATACAGAACTCCCACGACGAACAGAAAATATATATCAGTGATTGGTTGGGGGGGGGGAGGGGGCTGCAAAATACTGTTTGCTTACCGTTGAAAATTACCTAGGGCTGCCTCTGATAACATGGTACATGTTACAACGGCTGTGAAGGTGGAAGAAGGCTGAAACAGATTGAGAAGCCACGGCCATCATCTTACCCATGCCACTGTGGGACCTCACTCTGTGAAGACTGTGTGTTGGTCAGTTGTGCACCAATCTACACACATTAAAAAACTCACGCACAGGCGTCTTCCAGAAAAATAAAAACAAACCAACAAGAGTCCTATAGCAATCAACAAGTCACGACAGGGGCAGGACTGTGATATCTGGAAGCCCCTAGTCACAAACTGGCACATGGGGAGTGGATACGAACTCAGTCATTCTACCTCAAGGTCTGAGGCAGTTGAGTAGTTCGGCAGCTGTATCCATGACTGAGCAGCGCTTTTTAGGATGAACTCTGCTCACCCCACATGGGGAAGGGGCTAGAAAAGGTGCCCTAAACATAGTTTGCCTCTCTTATCCCTGACTGGACTTCTACGTCCAGTGGGGTCACCATCCTGTGGCCAAAAAAGAAAAATGAACTTCAGAACATGGAACATATGGACACTGATGGACAACACCGACAGTGAACGCCTTGAACGCAGAACTGCCATCATTGCAAGGGAGCTGGGATGCTTTAACATTGACATAGCAGCCCTTCAGGAGACCCGGAGAGCAGGAGAGGGACAGCTGAAGGAAGAAAAAGGAGGCTACACCTTCTTCTGGAAGGGACTGCCTGAAGAAGACCAAAGAATGCATGGAGTTGGCTTTGCTATCAGAAATGATCTGGTGAAACATCTGACCGAAGCACCCACTGGCATCAACTAACGACTCTCTACCCTCCGAATTGAACTTGCCAAAAACCAACAGGCAACCATCATAAGTGCCTATGCACCAACACTAGATGCTGATGAAGGCATCAAGGAAAACTTTACTGTCAGCTGGACACCGTCCTATCGGAGATTCCTAAGGAGGACAAAATCATCCTCCTGGGGGACTTTAATGCAAGAGTCGGGCGAGACTTTGACCTGTGGCCAGGGACCATAGGAAAAGACGGGGTTGGAAACAGCAACTCGAATGGCATCCTGCTTCTCACCAAATGTGCGGAACACAACCTTGTCATCACCAACATGCTCTTCCACCAGAAAAACAAGTTCAAGACATCATGGAAGCACCCCCGGTCAAAACATTGGCACCTCTTAGACTACGTAATCACACGTGCCAGAGACCACTGTGACGTGCTTCTCACAAGAGCCATGACAGGTGCTGATGACTGCTGGACATACCACAGGCTAATCCGATCCACGATGGCTATCAAGATCGCCCCCAAGCGCAGACTCCAAGGAAGAAAGACAAGGTGCAAAATGAACACCCAAGCCCTTCAGGAGCCCTCCAGACGAGCCCTTCTCCAAACAGCACTCAAGGTCCATCTACCCATAGAACACCCCGAAAATGTCGAGGAACATTGGAACAAACTGAATACCTCCATCATCACAGCCTGCGAAGAAACTATTGGATATCACCTGGAAACCGATGCCCTCACTGCGGGAGAAGATGCAGATCAAGTATAGGACTCCACAGTCACCTTTGGACCCATCACCAGGATACTACACTTGGAGGACCATCATCCTCGGACAACGAGGGATTGCCTAAGTAAGTAAGTAAGTAAGTAAGTCAGCTCTCCAACTCATGATCCAAGTATCCTGTGTTTGCCTATGTTCCTTGAAAAGTTTTGCCTTGGAAAACGTTCCTGATTTTCATGTGTCTCGATTTACGCCTATGTTCTTGACTTCCTTGATTCCGTGTACCTTGTTATTTTGGACTCCTGATGGTTTGTATATGGACTACTGCTATTTTATTGATAGACCTCAAGGAGATGCCTTCATATAGATGCCCTCAAGGGCTGTCTAATCTATATTCCTGTTCGCAATGAAAACATTCCTCACAACAGGGTATCTGTTTAAAGACATCCAAAGGAAAAAGGTCAATCACTTGTCCAGATAGTCTGTCCAGATAGTCCAGAAGGTCCATCACCTGTCCAGATAGACAGTTCTTATCATTATGATGTGGTCTCAGAGGAATTTTTCTTCTCCTCCTCCTCATTTGAATGCATTTGATTCATGTCCTAGACTCTGGAGTGGCAGAAAACAAGCTCACTCCATCTTCTACATGATATCCTTTCAAATATTTAAAGATGGCTGTCACAACATCTCTCAATCTTCTCCAAGCTCAACAGCCAAAGCTTCCCGAATGGTCTCAAAGTCCAATTTTCTCCACAGTGAATGCGTGGTCCATGATGAACATATTTGGGTGCCGAAAAGTAGCAAATATTTGCCTCTAAAAGGCCAGCGCCTTCTGATCTAGGGCAGCTCTGCATTGAGAATATTTGTCCAGATGGTGCAATGAACACTAATCTGTGGTCCATCAGCTATGAAGAGATGTGCCAGGGTAGGACAAACAGATGGCTAACCCAAGAGACTTTCCAGCCTGATGCAAAAGGGTAAGATGGCTACCTCCTTCATCGCGTACCCAGAAGCTGATTGGTTAAACTTTCAGCACTGGCAATCAATCTGAATATTTTACCATATTAATCATTATGCCACTATTGCTTGGAGAAGGTCATTGTCATCATAATAATAATCATCATCATCATCTTTATTTATACCCCCTTTCCCTCAAAACCAAGACTCAAGGCAAGCTGTTGACAAGTTGGAATGTGTCCAGAGGACAACTAAAATGATCAAGTGTCATGAGAACAAGCCCTATGAGGCGCGGCTTAAAGAGCTGAGCATGTTTAACCTGAAGAAGAGAATGCTGAAAGGGGACATGATAACCATGTGTAAATATGTGAGGGGAAGTCATAGGAAAGAGGGAGCGAGCTTCTTTTCTGCTGACCTGGAGAGTAGGACATGGAACAATGGCTTCAAACTACAAGAAAGGGGATTAGGAAGAACTTTCTAACTGTGAGAGCTGTTCAGCAGTGGAACTCTCTGCCCCAGAGTGTGATGGAGGCTCCTTCTTTGGAGGCTTTGAAACAGAGGCTGGATGTCCATCTATCGGGGATGCTTTGAATGTGATTTTTCTCCTTCTTGGCAGGGGGTTGGACTGGATGGCCCACGAGATCTCTTCCAACTCTGGGATTCTATGATTCTAAAGCAGATTCCTAATGAAAAGTAATGGGGGAAACTATATTGAGGGAAAGGGTGGGATAAAAATAAAAAATTAAAATTATATTACACGTTGTAACCAATTTTAATTATTATTTAAATGTAAATAATAATTAAATTATATTACACTTTGTAACAAAGAGCCCCTGGTGGTGTAGCGGGTGAAACCGCTGAGCTTCTGAACCTGCTGACCTGAAGGTCGGCAATTCGAATCCAGGCACCGGGGTGAGCTCTCGCTGTCAGCCCCAGCTTCTGCCAACCTAGCAATTTGAAAACATGCAAATGTGAGTAGATCAATAGGTACCGCTTTGGTGGGAAACCGCTGAGCTTCTGAACATGCTGACCTGAAGGTCGGCAGTTCCAATCCAGGCACTGGGGTGAGCTCTCACTGTCAGCCCCAGCTTCTGCCAACCTAGCAATTTGGAAACATGCAAATGTGAGTAGATCAATAGGTACTGCTTTGGTGGGAAACCGCTGAGCTTCTGAACATGCTGACCTGAAGGTCGGCAGTTCAAATCCAGGCACTGGGGTGTGCTCTTGCTGTCAGCCCCAGCTTCTGCCAACCTAGCAATTTGAAAACATGTAAATGTGAGTAGATCAATAGGTACCGCTTTGTTGGGAAACTGCTGAGCTTCTGAACTTGCTGATCTGAAGGTCAGCAGTTCAAATCCAGGCACTGGGGTGAGCTCTTGCTGTCAGCCCCAGCTTCTGCCAACCTAGCAATTTGAAAACATGCAAATGTGAGTAGATCAATAGGTACCGCTTTGGTACCTATTGCAGTCATGCCGGCCACATGACCTTGGAGGTGTCTATGGACAACGCCGACTCTTCGGCTTAGAAACGAAGATGAGCAGCAGAGTCCCAGAGTCGGACAGGACTGGACTTAATGTCTAGGAAAACCTGTAACTTTATTTCCTCCAAAACCAGGACTCAAGGCAGCTTCCAAATGAAAACGAATGGGATAAAACAAATATTGGGTGGGATAAAAACCCAATATTATAATTCTATTACACTTTGTAACAAAATTTGAAAAAAAACTTTCTATTCCTGGTTTGAAAGTATGGTTTCCTGTTTAATTGCGTGGTCTTTACTTTGAAAGCAATTATTTTACTCTGGAAACTTCATTTTTGGGGCTGCCACAAACTAAGTTGAATTGGTTGAGACTCAATGATGAGATATTCATTGAGAAGCTAGAGCAGACTGTGCTGCATGATGTCCCTCCCACAAAAAAAATTTTTTTTGCAGTTATATGAGACCTGGTGGTGCAGTGGGTAAAACCACTGAGCTGCTGAACTTGTTGACCAAAAGGTCACAGGTTAAAATCTGGGGAGCGGGGTGAGCTCCTGCTGTTAGCCCCAGCTGCGGACAACCCAGCAGTTTGAAAACTTGCAAATGTGAGTAGATCAATAGGTATTGCTCTAGCGGGAAGGTAACGGAGCTCCATGAAGTCATGCCGGTGACATAACCTTGGAAGTGTCTATGGACAACGCCGGCTCTTCAGCTTAGAAATAGAGATGAGCACCAACCCCAAGAGTCGGACATGACTGGACTTCATGTCAGGGGAAAACCTTTACCTTTACCTTAAACTTTTCCTGTGTTTTGATTATAGCGCCAATTAGGAAATTACATTTACAACTCAGGAACAAAAATTGTGTTACGTATTGATGTGGTAGGAGGCCAACCAGGGTTTCTTGTTGAATCAATAGGTCTGCGTCGTCTCCGTGTTTCATCAGCCGGAATGTTTTGAAGGCTTGACACTTCCCTTTTCACACAAACAACCCTATTTCGCCATAAATCAATACCCTCTGCTAATGGCCTTCCAGTAACTTGCACCAGCTGCCCATTAGTAGGTCGCTCAGGCCTCGGCACACAGGATGGCAAGGTGAGCAAAGCCCATTTTCAAATCAAATTCCAGCACTCCAAGGATACAGTTACCAAACAGCGTCAAGACAATGAAGTAGACGGAGGAGAACATCCCGGAGTGGACGCCTCCTTGGGATTCAATCCCTTGATACATCACTGCGTTCCAGTCTTCTCCGGTCAGGATCTGTGAAATTAATGAACAAAGGAGGGAAGGAAGGAAGGGAAAGTCAGTGAGAATGTCGTCAAAAATTGAGGAAAAAACGAGTGTCTCGGCTGTCTAAAGCAGTGTTTCCCAACTGTCCTAAATACAGTTCCTTATGTTGTGGTGACCCCCAGCCATAACATTACTCTTGTTGCTACTTCGTACGTGCCCCAAACGTGAACACTGGTGGAGTTTGGGGAAAATAGACTTGACATTTGGGAGTTGTTGTTGCTGGGATTTATAGTTCACCTGCAATCAAAGAGCATTCTGAACCCCATTTCATAATGTTGCTACTGTTATGAATCGTAATGTCAATATCTGATATGCAGGATGTATTTTCATTCAATGGACCAAATTTGGCACAGATATCCGATATGCTCAAATCGGAATACTGGTGGGATTGGGGAGGGGGGGTGTTTTGTAGTTGCTGGGATTCACCTTGAGTTTTGGAGTTGTAGTTCACCTACATTCAGAGAGCACTGTGGACTCAAACAATGATAGATCTGGACAAAACATGGCACAAATACTCAATATGCCCAAATGGGAACACTGGTGGAGTTTGGGGAAAATAGACCTTGACATTTGGGAGTTGTAGTTGCTGGGATTTATAGTTCACCTATGATCAAAGAGCATTTTGAACTCCACCAATGATGACACTGAACTGAACTTGGCACACAGAATTCCCATGACCAACAGAAAATACTGGAATGGTTTGCTGGCCATTGATTTTGAGTTTAGGAACTGTAGTTCACCTACATTCAGAGAGACCTGTGGACTCAGACAATGATGGATCTGGACCAAACTTGGCACAAATACTCAATATGTTGAAATGTAAACACTGGTGCAGTTTGGGGAAAATAGACCTTGACATTTGGGAGTTGTAGTTGCTGGGATTTATAGTTCACCTACAATCAAAGAGCATTCTGAATTCCACCAATGGTGACACTGAACCGAACTTGGCACACAGGATTCTCACGATCAACAGAAAAAACTGGAATGGTTTGCTGGCCATTGATCTTGAGTTTGGGAACTGTAGTTCACCTACATCCAGAGAGACTTGTGGACTCAAACAATGATGGATCTGGACCAAACTTGACAAAAATACCCAAATGTCGAAATGTAAACACTGGTGGAGCTTGGGGAAAATAGACCTTAAATCTCCTTTCCTGTAATTTGAAGCCATTGCTCCGCATCCTAGTCTCCAGGGCAGCATATATATATTTCATGATCTCAGGCCCATCTCAGGCCATTGTCCTTTACAATTTAGGAGTCTGCAGGCAAAGATGGAAAGCAGGTCAGTAAGGAATGCTATTGCCAAGACAGATTGGAGGGTGGAAGGAAGGACAGAGGAACGAAGCATCTACAATATTACGGCAGTGGAAAACTATGGTCTTTTGTGATTTCAGAGGACATCAGTTGGAGTGCTTTCCTCTTAGAGTTTAACATTTTCAAAATGTGTGGAAAGACATTTCCAGGTTTTCTCACAAGTGCCTGGATTTCACACTAGGGCACTTGCTGATGATCGTGCCATTACTGCTCAAGCAAGGAGATTTCAGATGGTAGAACAGAAGCTCTCAGAAGCTCTAGGTGCTCTAACTGCCTACTACAGGGAAAACCAGCTGATCCCTAATCCATCTAAAACACAAACATGTGCCTTTCACCTTAAGAACAGACAAGCATCCTGAGCTCTGAGGATCACCTGGGAAGGAATCCCACTGGAGCATTGCAGCGTACCCAAATACCTGGGAGTCACTCTGGACCCTTCTCTGACCTACAAGAAGCACTGCCTGAACATCAAGCAAAAAGTGGTGCTAGAAACAATATCATACGAAAGCTGACTGGCACAACCTGGGGATCACAACCAGACACAGTGAAGACATCTGCCCTTGCGCTGTGCTACTCTGCTGCTGAGTATGCATGCCCAGTGTGGAACACATCTCACCACGCTCAAACAGTGGATGTGGCTCTTCATGAGACATGCCGCATTATCACGGGGTGTCTGCGCCCTGCACCACTGGAGAAATTACACTGCTTAGCTGGTATTACACCACCTGACATCCGCCAGGAAGTAGCAGCCAATAGTGAAAGGACCAAGGCCGAGACATCTCCAGCTCATCCCCTGTTTGGGTAACAGCCAGCACGTCAACGACTTAAATCTAGAAATAGTTTTCTAAGATCTACAGAGACACTCGCTGGAACACCTCAGCAAGCGAGAGTCCAAAAGTGGCAGGCTCAAACCCAGAACCTCAATCAACGGCTGATACCAAATGAGAGACTCCCCCCTGGGCATACAGAAGACTGGGCGACTTGGAAGGCGCTGAACAGACTGCGCTCTGGCACCACGAGATGCAGAGCCAACCTCAAGAAATGGGGCCACAAAGTGGAATCCATGACATGCGAGTGTGGAGAAGAGCAAACCACTGACCACCTGCTGCAATGCAACCTGAGCCCTGCCACATGCACAATGGAGGACCTTCTTGTGGCAACACCAAAGGCACTCCAAGTGGCCAGATACTGGTCAAAGGACATTTAATCAACTACCAAACTTGCAATTTTTGTGTTTTGTCTGTTTGTTTGTTTTGTTCTGTTAGAAATGTAATATAATTAACTAGTTGCCCTGACACGACAAATAAATAAAATAAATACTTGCTAATTTTGTCATTCTTTATCCTTTTAAAGGAGATACCACATCCAAATATGCAGAGGGCAAAATCCCCAATCCGGATTCCCGACAGCAAAGAAGACCCTCTTACCTGAAATACAGTAAGAATGGCAGTGGGGAAGGTATCAAAGTTGGTGGTTGGTGTTTCATCGTTGAAATGAAACCTAGGAAGAGGAAGGAAATTGATGTTAAGACAATGAAGAGTACATAGGATCTTTACAAGAAGGAATAAACTTGGTTGGTTAATCCAATGGACTCTCTAATCTCACATGAAGGTAATCAATATTACCTGTCCATGCTACCAAACACAGCAGCATGCAGTGTCCCCATTTACTTCTCCAATCACTAAGACATGCTCTCCTCCAATATACTCTATTCCATCTCCACCTAGTTCTGGTTCACTTTTTCCAATTTGATTGTCATCTGCTCTTCCATAATACTCTATTCAGAGGCGGCCCTAGGTAATGCCACTTTGTATAGACAATACACAGACAGACATAACAGAAAGGAGGTGCCATGGAAGGTGGTCTCGAGTCCAAGGGGTGCTGTTTCTCCATTCTCTATGACCAAGAGCTGTCAGGACTTCCTCCTTCCTTTTGGTCGCCCAGCATTTTCTGATCTTCTTTCTTTATGGCTTCATAAAACACCTCCCCCGCTTTTAACGGTACCTAATTTCTCTAATCACAGCTAAAGCTGTTTTTGAATTGCTTAGGTAAACAATGAGCTAGGCTGACAGTTGGCAGCTCATGCCAACCCGGGGCTTCGAACTTGCAACCTTTTGGTTGATAGATCTTATAATTGCTGATGATTTACCAGCTGTGCTAAACCAAGTGTTTTGGATTGTATGGCCATGTTCCAGAAGCATTCTCTCCTGACGTTTCACCTTCATCTGTGGCCTCACAACCTCTGAGGATGCTTGCCACAGATGCAAGTGAAACTTCAGGAAATAATGCTTCTGGAATATGGCCATACAGCCTGAAAAACTTACAACAACTGAAATTTAACTGTGATCCTGAATAGGGGAGGAGGAGCCAAGATTGGTTCCCACTTGCTTTCATGTTGGTTTTTGTACCGAAAGGGCCCTTAACATTACAAGTATTGAAGGTACCAAAGGAAACAGAGGAAATGAAATCCACGCACAACCCTACTGGATAGCTCTGCACATCTTTATGTTTGTTTCTGCTACCTTAGTAGCCACCTCTCCACAAAAGTCACGCCTGAGCTCTGCGAGTGCAGCATTTTTCCGAATGAAGCAGAGAGTGTTTGAGGACCGGGACATCCGTAGGGAGACCAAGGTGCTTGTCTATAAAGCTATTGTCCTCCCAACCCTGCTGTATGCCTGCGAAACGTGGACTGTCTACAGACGTCACATGCAACTCCTGGAACGATTCCATCAGCGCTGCCTTCGGAAAATCCTGCAAATCTCTTGGGAAGACAAGCGGACAAATGTCAGCGTGCTGGAAGAAGCAAAGACCACCAGCACTGAAGCGATGGTCCTCACCATCAACTCCGCTGGACCGGTCACATTGTCTGGATGCCCGACCACCATCTCCCAAAGCAGTTGCTCTACTCCGAACTCAAGAATGGAAAACAGAATGTCGGAGGACAGGAAAAAAGATTTAAAGATGGGCTCAAAGCCAACCTTAAAAACTCTGGCGTAGACACTGAGAACTGGGAAGCCCTGACCCTTGAGCACTCCAGCTGGAGGTCAGCTGTCACCGGCAGTGCTGTAGAATTTGAAAAGGCACAAATGAAGGGCGAAAGAGAGAAAGATGCCAAGAGGAAGGCGTGTCAAGTCAACTCCGACCAGGACTGCCTTTCATCTGGAAACCAATGCCCTCGTTGCATGAGAAGATGAAGATCAAAAATAGGGCTCCACAGCCACCTACGGACTCACCGCCATTACACTAATCTTGGAAGACTATCCTACTCGGACAATGAGGGATCGCCTAAGTAAATTTTATATTTGTTATGTATAAGAATTTCATATCTTTCATATCTTTTTTTTCTAGAAACCAGAATACTATCCCAAATCTATTTTTCATACATGATATAATATGTCTGCCAATTTTTGTATTCATAGGTATGACATTGTGTTCATGGTCTACTGCAGGAGTGGACAACTTCTACGGTCAAAGCTCTTTCTTGTGTCCTACTGATCTAGAGAGATGGACCCAGCCACATTCACAAATTTTGGATTCTTACCCTATACACCACCACTTTTAGGGAAACAGACAATGCCACATGGGTGGAAGATAATTTCTTCAAAGAACATGAAGAATTTCAAGTTGAACTTACTGTCCTCCAAAGAGCTGCATCCCCAGCAGAGCAAAGACGACAATGAAGAGGAAGAGGAGGAAGAGCAAGCTGATGATGGACTTCATGGAATTCAGCAACGAGACCACAAGGTTCCTTAAGGAATTCCAATACCTAAAATTTCAAGTCAAAGTGCGGTTGAGAAATTAGAGGGCATGTTGAGTCCATAATAATGGGTGATAAATGGCAAGCACTTCTACCAAGACCAATTAGGAAATGACATTTATAAGCTAGGAACAAAAACTGTGTTCCATAATGTAATTGTCGCATTAAAGCAGAGTTTCTCAAACTTCCGCAACCCCTTAAAACAGATCTTATGTTGTGGTGACCCTGAACCAAACTTAGCATGAATACTCAATACGCCCAAATGTGAATACTGATGGAGTTTGGGGAAAATAGACCTTGACATTTGGGAGTTGTAGTTGCTGGGATTTATAGTTCACTTACAATCAAAGAGCATTCTGAACCCCACCAATGATAGAATTGGGCCAAACTTCCCACACAGACCCCATGACCAACAGAAAATACTGTGTTTTTTGGTGACTCCTCTGACACCCCCTCATGACCTCCCCAGGGGTCCCAACCCCGAGGTTGGGAAATGCTGCATTAAAGAGAAGTGTGGACCCCTTCTCCCAATGGACTTGCAACATACTTGGTGACTTTGAAAATCCTCAGCAGTCGAAGAGCTCTCAGGACGCTGATGCCAAAGGAGGCACCAGGCTTCACCGCGGCCCAGATGACTTCAAAGATGCTCCCCACAATCACCTGCAAGAGAAGGAGGGAGAAGCAGATAACAAATTGGTTGTTGTTGCTATTATTATTATTATTATTATTATTATTATTATTATTATTATTAATAACACAAAAACACAGTATGTCACAGCAAACAAGATCTATATGCTGGATTATTATTATTATTATTATTTGAAACACAACAAGATGAGTCCACAGCAGACAAGATCACTCTGCTAGCTGTTGTATTGGATCACATGTCAGACAGTTCCCAAGTGTCTAGGACTGTGTGATGCATCAGAGAATAATGCATGCAGATCCGAGTAGGGTGGCCTTTTGCAGCTGGCAGATGGTAATTTTGTCAGTGCCGATTGTGTTTAAGTGCAGGCCAAGGTCTTTAGGCACTGCACCCAGTGTGCCAATCACCACTGGGACCACCTTGACTAGTTTGTGTCAGAGTTTTTTCAGTTTGTGCTTCTTCTTCTTCTTCTTCTTCTTCTTCTTCTTCTTCTTCTTCTTCTTATTATTATTATTATTATTATTATATTTATTTATACCCCAGTTTATCTCCCATGAAAGATCACTCTGCTAGCTGTTGGTACTAGAACACACATTGGATACTTCCCAAGTGTCTAGGACTGTGTGATGCATCGGCGAATGATGCTTGCAGATCCCAGTAAGGTGGCCTTTTGCAGCTGACAGAT